ATTAGAACAGAAAATTTTCAGCCTAGATTTGTGAGGTTTTTTCTCAACAAACAAGAAATTGTTTCAAATTAAAAAGGCAGACCTCAATAAAAGATGATCAGTCGCGTGGACCAAGTCATCCAGAGTGATTACTTAAACTTTCAGAAAACACATCAAAATGATATCGTTAAAGAGGAACGAACATAGATTTTTGAAGCATTCTTAACAACTCTTCGGCAAGAAATGTGTTCAGTCATGGAACAGTGAATGTACACAGAGAAATAGTAGGAATCTACTAACCAATGAGGCATACATGCCTCCTCAAGACTATTTAAAGTTCATTTTACAGCAATTGCGACTACCCGATTCCATCAGTATAGATTACGACATGCTTTTGACGAATAGCAATGAATAATGAAATTGCGAAATCCAACAGATTGCTAATTCGATACGTACACGCTAACAGTCAATTAGAACCACAATAACATCCACACATAGTAATACGGCAGTTATTACAATTGAGGACCAAAACATTGCAGACATTGAACTTTTTGAACGCATGAACCGACAACAGTTAAAAGAATACAGCCATAATCACAAATCGAATAAAAAACAAATCTGTACAGTGAACCACCCGCTTAATACACCAATGGGTCAGTTACTGTTTTCCTTGGTTCAAATAAGAAACCTCATAAATTACGATAGAAATGACGACGATTCCAGACCAGAATGACCAATGAACAAAGCGAATGGAATGAGAAATCCTAATAAAATACTATATCAACACTCGAGAGTTGATAAACTAATCGACGGGATGACAAGAATCCTTCGAACTTGCAAGGAATCCTCAAAGCAAATGATTACAATGAAGAGAAATTCATAAAAATGAGCAGTAGAATTCCAGTGGACATTATATGAAGAAAGTGGGTTCAATATGGGAAACGTACCGTACAAGCAAATAAATAACTGAAACAATGCACGAAAAGTTCGATGATAAGACAGAAAGTCGAACTGATAACAATATTCCATAAAGACCAATAATTGGAATGTTTGACGGCAGCTTAAGTTTATTCGATTCAAAGTTGACTGAGTGAGGTCAAAATACAGTATTAGTAGGTAAGAGCGTGGAACGAGGAAAAAACATAAAATGAGCACAGTAACGATTACAGTGATCACTGCATTATTGCACGATTGTGAACATCAAACGAACATAAACAATACGATATGAAAAAATTACAATTTGAGACGTAACGAAACGAATTGATGAAAACTTAAAATTTGGCAAAAATCAAATCAGAACAATATCGAGTCGATGACGACACGAAATGAGGTTATCAGTACACTTCAATAAGCAAAACGATGATAACGACTTGATTCATAACTCTAATAATATTGACTGTAATACGAACACCACTTCCATATCAATCCCATAATAAAACGCAGCAACACAACACAATTACAACTGGTGGCAGTGATGAGCGAATAGGCAACTTCGTTAAAAATCATTCACAATTGTGATCATATTCAAAACGGAAACTATAATGATTCGATCATAAAAATAACAGTCAAATGAATAAATAACCAAGTCAAACAAGACAAGTGCTGCAAACGAATAAAAGTACATCAAAACCAGAACATCCGAAGAACACACTGCTTCAGTCGGTACGAAGTTCATCCCAAGGTGCTATTTCTGGCTCGACGTACCATTCTGCACGACACAGTGGGCACTTGCGATGATTCACTGATGAACATCCCATTGACAATGGTGATCGCCTGCAATAAGATATATTCACAAACTTATTTTCATATGAGAGCACTTGCGTCATTCACTATCATATAAACCACTAAATGAATGAACAATGAAGAAATAAAGACAAACCTATTAAGTTCGGAGATATTATTGGTACGTCTCCATTTGAGAATACAACGTCTACATCCAATTAATTGTCTGCAGCGTAGACATCCCACCGGTTCATCTGGCGCTTCTTCGTAACAAATCACACAGTGCTCGCCCGGTGCCAGGGGTCGTTGATTACGGAACTGCTCTCCTGATCGACGAGGAGTGCCACCAGCGTTGGAAGCACGTCGACTGTTACGAGTGCGTGATGTTGTGGAATTATGACGATCCGCTGCCTGACTGCTACCTTAATAAACAAATCAAATTCACATTGAACGTAAATTCACCGTACTCACTGCTCCATTCGTCGCTTGATCAACAAGCGCGAATCGTTTACTGTAATTCAGTTCTAACACAAATACGCCGGAATTCTGGCCGAAAACGGCCTATAGCACAAGCAGTCTTCGACATCCTCAACGCAAATCTCACATATCCATTCCTCACAATTTCTAAATGTACCACTTTCTCATTTTTTCGTGAAGGTTTTTCATTCGCATTCAGCACTTAGTTAACTCTATCAAATTATTCAACGTCCATATTATATCATCAAATTTCCACAAATGTCAAATACTCAAAAACGAACAAATGCATTTCACAACAAATCCAAATAGACCACTCACTTGATGGAATATCATCGTCGATTTCGGCCGCAATTCTCAACGCTAACAGATAATCGTCCATTTCTTGACGACGTCGGGCTGCAGCCGCACCAGATTCAGTTGGATGTTCGTCTCCGAAAATTTGTATATCACCATCCAGCAAAACCGCATTATGGTTACTATCTGCAATGCGTTAACACAATTACGGCCACAACCAAAGGCATTTACAACACTTCTCAAACCCAACATAATTTTCCTATGCACTTGTTCTCCAATCCAAATCATTTTGCTCATTTTCACTAACCATCAACTCGAATCAATTTGAGTTCACAGCAGAAAACCTTGCACTAAATATGAACAATTTTCAAATCATTCAATCAAACAAATAACACTGTCTCGTTCATCACTCACCCGCGGAGGAATCTGAATCCGATGAACTGGACGCCAACTCAACGTTTCGCATCATTGGTGCTAATCTCCGATAGTTATTCGTCAGCTCAGAAGACGGAATGAACGATCCTAGTAGTGATGTGCCTAGATTGCGATTACGACGAGCCAGTTCGGCCGCTCGGATCGCCACGGCCCGTTGCGGTCTGGCCAGATTGAACATTCCGTAAGTTCGAGGGATCGCCCGTTCTGCACGTAATCTTCCAGTTGGCAAATCTGTCGAGGTCGGGTGTCGATCAACTCCTCTTTGGTCAACACGATCAGCACCAGATTCTGGCTCCTCATCATCAGCCAATAGCTCTTCAATGGTATGACGAGTGCTAAAACAAAACAATCATCTCGCTTTGCATGAAATAACAAAAACAATTGAATACCACCATCATCTGTGAAAATCTTTCGATTCTTTATTATAAGTTTTATAAAAATTCTACAGATACAGTTTCAGTTTTTCATTAAAACTCTCAATTTCAGAGGTGAGAAGTCAAACATCAGTTTCAAATATTTGCTCATCGATTGGTGCGAATATCACAAGAAGGGACAAAGTATCAGAAGAAGAGAAACAAACGCACTGACCGTGGTGAAACCTCATTAAGAACTTGATTACGTATGTAATGCGATGAATTGAAATTCAGATTTCTCGTCGGATTAGATGCTACTGCAGCAGTTGCATTTGCATGCGTGGATAATATGCCCACATCTGAATCCAACGCCGTCCCACTGCTTCGTCCAACTGCTCCTGTGTTTTGCTGCTGGTCGCCGAATAAACCATCACTGAAGAATTCCCCAATTAACATCGACAATCTTCACCTCCTCTCTCATTTTTGTTTTTTCTAAAGTCCAAAGTCTTTTTGCGATTAGTCTTCCTCTTCTCACTCGATTTAGCAAGCTTACTTAGATCTCATACAAGTGAATCGCATCAACTGAACAGATCAAAACAAGAAATGAAAGCAAATGTAAAACCAACTTATTGAGCAAAGTATTCGAACGTTGTGTACGAGCTCGNCGTCCATTTGCATTCGCTACTCCGCCTACGTCAACAGGCAGTTCGATAGAATCACGTCGCGCCTGATTCGCAGCGTGATCCTCTTCATCAGTTGAATCACTCAAAAGTATCGGTGCATGATTCCTATACGTTCTGTAGTTATGTCCCAAAGCCACAAGACCAGTTTGACTGATGCGATGAATGCCATCACTAGTGCCATTGGTTGACGATGAATTCGTGTTTCTGCTTGAAACAACATTTGCTCTCCTTCTTGATGCATCTTGATTCGTCGATGAATTTGTGGTGTTCGAGCGATTTGTTGTTGAAACGTTTCGAGAACCAGGTAATATTCTACTCCTCAATGGTGATCTATTCAAAGTTCGGTTTGAACTGGCACTTTCATGCCATGATGTTATTCCTGTGAGACCATATCCCATGTTTGACTGCCATTCTCCAAAATCAGGTGAATGACTTAGCAATGCTCCACCTTGTCTGTTGTATCGTCCAGTTCTCAAACGAGGCAGCGGAGGTGTTTCTGGAAAATGTTCATCAGAACTGCTTCCATCTCGCCCTTCTTCCTCATCACTTTGCACCAAAATCGTTGAATTGCCACCATCTAAAAGAGCATCACCACCAGCACCAGCACCCCTACGACGACGATTTCCGTTACGACGTGTAGTTCGACGTCGTTCATTGCGCGAAGAAGGTGGCGTATCTGGTAACACGACAGTATTATCGACATTCAATATTTCCACACTTGATGAACGTGATGCTCCACTTACTTGTCCTTAACGTATAAAATTCAAAGTAGTATATATAAGATTAAAAATGAAAATTCAATGTAACATATCACAAAATAACACTCCAATCCATCATAATGACCTTTCCTTTATATGCTGTCGTGTTCATGTCGATACTGAACGATTATCGAATAAAAAGAACTTTTTAAGAAAGTGATCTTTTTATTGAGATCAAAATTCCAGGCGTACAATTTGAGGATAATGCGTTCGCGTTTTACCGAAATGCTCCGATGCTGAGCTGAAAACAAAAAAAACGACGGAAGGCAATTTCAAATCGACACACCTTGATTTGCGATTGCATTCGTGCGAGTTGGACTAGCATCTGGGGTTGACTGAAGTGACACCACACGTTTTCGACGACGCTGTCTACCGCCTATCACCGATAAATTCTCAGTCTCATCATCGTCATTCACATCATCATGATCCTCTCCCAATGTTGCCGATCGAACACGCATTGCCGTAATACCTCCTCCTCGAAGTGACGCCTAAAGGCAGATTTCCGGCAAACTGTTGCCATATACGATCATCTTTATTAATGTACTTTAAGCAACGCCGCATCAAAACAATCCAGTAATAACTTACAAGTCCAATAACAATAATTTCTGTTAACAATAACAAAAATTTCTGCTCACATTATGTTGATTCGCTGTTGCACTTCCACTCAGAATTCTTCGGTGACGCTGTGACGATATCAATGGCGAATCATTATTATTATCGTCAGCATCAGATGTATGATCGTTACGATTTTCATCTCTATCCGATGGTGGTTCAGGAGTGCATTCTGGGGACGACTGATACGAAATACGTCGTACACGTGGCCTTGATGCAGGCAATCCGCCGAGGAAGGCCGCATCCAGAAAGTTACCATCACTTTCTGATGTTACTGTCTGAAATTATGCATGGATGGATGGAATTCCAATGACGGTGTGCTTCAACTAAGATGAATGGCTTCACCAAGCAGATATTACGGAAGAAAAGTGAGAAATAGATAGCTGTGTTTCAGTCAACAATAGCTAACAAACAGCTAAGAGTCACGTCGCACCGATATACGTGACAGAAATGAAACTTGTCAAAAACATTCAAGATCTGAGGTCTTATTCGAAATTGCTCATAATTACAGAGTGGTAAAAATAGGCCAAAATATTGGGCAATCAATTGATTGAGCACCCACCGGTGTAGGGGTTCGATAGCCATCACTAGTATCATCACTGTGCTGAGATCGTGCAGAGTTGTTGCTGTTGGAAATGGGTGATGAATGCGTCAGAAAACTCGGTGTGCCGAGTGTCCGGTTACCGGCTCGTTGCCGTCTAGCCGCTACACCAAGTGATGATATCGAATTCTGACGTATTCCTCCACGTTGTGTGCCGCCAAGTCTTACGCTTGTAACTGGTGCACTTGAATTAAATTCAGTAGTGATTTTTAGCAA